AACAAGAGGTTGGTAGATGATTCCTATTCACATATATATATATATATATATATCAATGAGACAAAGAGTCACATTTCATTTTTTCTCAATGCAGTTTGAAAAGAAGGCCCCAATAGAAAATTCGACCTCTTCTAATAAAATTTCTCAAAATGGTGATGTCCTGCTACACAAAAAAGAGTGGACAGATGTACATGATAAGTTTCCACATAACTCTTCCCCAAAAGAAGACGACGAAAAAGAAGAAAATAGTTCGAGAACTTTTTCCACAGAAGAACTGAAAACCTCTCTGCAAGAGTTTTCAGAAGAAAAATTTAACCACTATCACCACTACCACCAACATCATCAAAAGCAGCAGCAAGATGAAATGGTGCAACAGGAAATAGAGGACAAACGACAACAAAAATTATCTGAAACTCAATCCTCTTCGCCTGAGAATCAGAATCCTTACACTAGGAAAACTATACAACAACGACGACAACAACAAGAAGAGGCTGAAAATGAATACAATGACACTTTGCAAGTGATCGAACAAATTCGAAATGATAATTTGGATTCGCCTGAACAAAAACATTCGAATCGAGAAGCTCCAAATAAAACACTCGAAGAATCAAATGAAACTAGTGATGAAGTTGAATCAGAAAACGGTCGCGATAATTTATTGATTGAGCAGCAGCAACAATTTTTAAATCAATTAAGTATACAAGATGAAAAAGAAAAGGAGGAACGACAGCTCTTAAAGGATAACGAAGAGATAAGGAGATTCCAGTTGCAACAACAACAACAGCTGCAGCTGCATCTGCAACAACAGCAACAAGATAAAGAGCAAAGTTTAAAATTACAATTAAAGCAGGAACATGAACAAAAGCAAATGCAACTCCTACAACTACAACAATATCAACAGCAGCAACAAAAACAACAACAGCAGATTCAACAACAGCAACAACAGCAACTTCAACAACAACAATTTCACCATCATCAGCAACCAAAACAACATGTGTTGCAGCAACAACAACTTTTTCAAGATCGTCAAGAAGTTTTGCAACAACATCAACAAAGCCACCAACATCAACATCGACAACAACATTTATTACAACATCATCATCCTCAAAAATTATTGTTGTCACATCATCTTGACCCAGACCAGGATGATGACGTATTGAAAGAAGCATTTGCTTACCCAAGCATAGGTGGTAATTCTCCTCCACTATCCCCTACTGCAAAGAATCCTAAATATTCTTCTGCGCATTCTATCATTAATGCAGCTAATGGGGTGACTAGTCTTTTTGCTAATGCTGCAATAAATCCTGAGCCGAGGAAACTTCCTGTAGAACCAAATTCTAAATGGTTATATCGTGATCCAACTGGCAATATACAAGGTTAATAATATTTCAATGTTTAAATTTTATTTTTAAAATCTGTTAATGGATTGATTAAATTAGCTGATTGAATTAATGTGCGTTTTTCTATTTAACATTTACCAATAAATTTTAGGTCCATTCACTAGTCAAGAGATGAATGATTGGTATAAAGGTGGTTTCTTCAGAACTAATTTGTTGGTTAAAAGAGTTGAAGACCAGACATTTGAACCATTAGGTACATTAATTAGAAAAACTTGTTGCATCCATGCTTTTCATTTAGTAAAATGACGATGAAGGAAAAAGTGATTTGCCTCCACTTAAAAAAAAATTTCTACCAATGAAAAATGAATCCTAGAAGAAAAACGATAGAAGCAATTCAAGAATCGATAAAGAGAGAATAAAAAATGGATGAAAGAGGATACAATATTAACAATAGTAATATTATTATTAATAATAATAGTAAAAATATAGAATAGATCGAATAGGAATGCCTTCTCATACAATCTACTCTAATGATTTATCTTGTTAATGTTTATTATTTATATATATCAATTAAAATCATTATAAAATTGAATCTAATCTAATGATGTCAGCTTAACTGATAAGTTTTTGCCAAGTTAAATTTCAGTTAAGCTTTTGTCTGATTGGATATAAATATCAAAAATTCGATGTTGAAACGTCGTAGTAATAGTATATATTATTACTTTAATTTACACTATATAAAATTCTTCGAAAAGAATATTTATTTATATAGCCTGATTATATATGTTATTTATCATCGTGATTCTAATTATACATTGATTTCATCATCCATTTCAAACATTTTATCTATTAAATCTTGAGTAGTATTATAATCCATATTTTCCAACCAACTTTGATTTTTTCATTAATGTATTAGCTTGTAATTGAACGTCTCGAGCTTTCGGTCATTTTGATAATAAAAATTATGGAACAAGGGCCTATAATGGAAAGAAATCTATTTTATGAATATCACAAGACTAATTTTGAATTTAGACACAAACTATTAATTAAACTTTATTATACAATTTTGACTTTTTAGCAAACCATTAATTATAACGTTTTACAATTACAACAACTAAAATGCTAAATGACAAAAACATTTATCATTTAAATTCAGTTCAAGTTGACATCATTAGTTGAATCAAAAAATAAAACATCACTTGGTCTTTTTGAATGTCTCCTAAATTGTATACAACATTCGTTATGATCATGTGTATTATTATTTGAATATATATCTCTTTTTACAAAGGATTAATCATTGCCCAAGTAATGATAACACCAAGACCATGCAGAAATGAAATAACATTCTCATCCATATTCCCATCTTCTTTGGATATTATCGCGTTTCCATAAACCTCAGAGCTCGCATAATTTTTTGATGCGTGGGATAAGAGTCTCCATAACCTTGATCACTTTTTTCCTCACATTAGTTTGAAAAGTATCCATTTGGAATTATTACTTACGTAACCAGAGAATGGTCATCAAATTTGAATTTCTTCCAATATATCAAAAATAATACGGAAAAGACACGAACTATTTCATAAAAGACCTCGCCAAATGTGGATTAACTCTTGAGGAAGTAACGGTCAAGGAATAAACCGGAGGCAAATAAGTATACTCCCTCCGGTGTGAATGGGGTTGGTTATTCCAAGAATTTCGAAGCACAGTTGATCCGATAATCTGATTGTCTGGAAATCAAAACTCAATATCGATATCAATCCCAGACTGCATAAATTAGGGTGTGCGCTCTAACCAAATTTGTAAATTATCTGCAAAGATAAATTTCAAAACATCGCAAAAAAATCACATTATTAATATCATTAGTCATGACGACTGAAAATGGACGTTTATCTATATATACTTCCATCCATACTTGAGTCGTTTATCTTAACTAAAATAGTATTAGCAAGTATATATTTTATAGACACCTTCTTACTACATATTAAATATCTAAATATGCCGAAAAAATAATGGATAAATTAATAGCGCTGGTCATTAGTAGACTTGATTAAATTGAAAAACTAATACGCTCTCTACAATCTTACATTTCAAATCTTGATATCTAATTAGCTGATCAAGGGAAAAATAACAAATGGAAGTAGTAATAATAATAACGAAAATGAAGAAGGCATAGATGGAGATAAAAACGTAAAGATACAACAAAAAAACATTCAGTAATTTGAATGAAAATGAACGTGAATTTTTTTGAGAACAAAAAATTAATAACTTGGAAAGTATTGTTAAGAAGGACGAAAAAAAATGATACGTTTGCTTTGAAGACATGTTTTCCATCGAGACTTTTCACTAAAATTTTATTAGTTTTATTGTTCCATATTGTAATAGGTATTCCACGTTGCTTTTTGATGCAAACAAGTTTCAATTAATTTACATAATGGTGATAATAGACTGGATCCATTGATACCAATAAGTTTTGGTATGATCCGTTGTAAATTTGAATAAAATGTTACACCAATGGAACCCTGGTTTACATATAAGGCACGAGACCAAATGCAAAAGATGATAAAGAGATAGCAGATGCTTCAAAATATCCAACAATCTTTTAAAATGACTATCCATCAATCTGAATATGAACAGATTTTTTTTATAGATATCAAGATTGAGGATCACGTCTCTAAAACATACTAAATTAAAATTATGCAAAAAAATTACGCAAGTCCATAAATGTGGACCAATTCTACAAGTAGCAAGAGAAAGAAAGTTGGAAATAATAATCAAAGAGGAATTGTAAATTATTTTGGCACTCGCAAGAGCTTTTGTGTGCAGTGGAATTTCTTTTAGTGTGGTGATAATCCTTTTTTTTACGATCCATTAACAAATCCGCAACATCTACGCCAAGTGAAAGACTTTTTTCAGATGCTAGTAATTTATTAACACGCAAAAGAACACGAACCTGATTTTTTTAAAAACATTATGTTCTTAAAAAAAAGAAATAAATCATAACTTGAACAACTCATCCTCCAAATTAAATAAAATCTTATTAATATTATCCAATAATATTTGCTATTTTGACGGATTAACCTGTTATCAAACTAGACGAAAAAATCCTTAATACCAACAAATTTTAATATTTAATATAATGTAATGTAATAAATATGTAAAACCAATGATTTTGAGAATATATTGTAAGTAGTATAAATCGGTTGTTGAGTAATCACTTCACACATATAATCAGATACACATAATACTAATTAATAGAAGTCGGTTAACAATTTAACTAATAACCAATCGGATGATCCTCGATCAAAGATCATTCT